CATACGAGTATATATATATAGCAACATACGAGTATATATTTTTCATAATACATTTATCTACTTAAATATACCATAGTGCGACCCAGAAAAACTTCAATTTGTAACTGTTTGATCATTCTTGACTGAAAATAGAGTAATTTATTTCTTCTGGATTTGAAAATGGATTTTTTTCTTTTTCACTTTTAGTGTGATTTCAAGTCCCTCTGAGTTTCTTTCTTTATTAATTTATTTTACCTTTTATTTTACTTAATTGACATATTAGGTGTGTTTAATAAACATCCAAGATTCCCCACTAAGCCATTATATCATTCTTGACATTTCTTTTTTCTTTTTGTTTGTTAGTTTCGTTGTGTTTTGCTTTGGTAAACATATATTTTATGTCTAGATTTCGATGTTTAAAACACCAGCTAATATATTAGAAGTTCAAAACGAAATCTAATTCTAAATGGGCACCGACAATTTTCAGGTCTGAAGATATTCATCTAACTCGAGAATTATTTTAAAATTAAACCTACATTGTTAAATTAAAATCAAAAGAAAATCAAACAATTTTACTGTCCTGGTAACGCCATCCGTGCTGGTGAGGAAATATTTGTGGCAATTTAAGCTGCTGTCATCTTTAAATACGATCTAGATATTTGATTTAATTCTAGTATATTTTATTAGATGTTGCGAAAAAAAATAAAACAACTATTTTAATAGTTTAATTATTTTTAACCAATCACAAAATTATCTTCTACATATTGAATCTATTGCAGAGATATTTAATTTTTAATTCCAAGTGAGGAATTACTTCAAGGACTAATAATTAACGATCTGTGTTGAGATGAGTTTATTATAAGAAATTCATAACACATTTCACTTTTCACCGGAATTCAGATTATTTTTATTATTTTCATGAAATATGTAACCCGTGAACATTTTTTGCGCACACTCGGATCACCAAATTAAACCGCAAAAAGTTTGCAGTTGGTCAGTTTGTCAGTTCAACTGAACTTCATACAATCATAAACTGATGTGACTTTCTGAATTTTGAAAAATGTCTTTGTTATAGCTGTACATATTTCTGTGTTTGGTAAAATCGTATTTATTTAAAGTGGAAACAGCGGTACGCGTCTATTTTTTATTTTTGTATAAATATTGGAGTGCGTTCAGTCCACTAGGTGTCAGTGTCATCTCAGCATAAATTGATGAGTTATAGTTGGCCCTGCCCTTCACAAAGGTTTTGTTCTAGTCACCAGAAAGGAGAGCATACTGAAGGAGAAAACGCTGTTGCGTTGTATAAAATTGATATGATGTAAAGGCTTATCACATTATAGTTCAAAAAAATTTGTGAACGTACATTGTGCTTGGAAAACCTGTGAGAAGAGTTTTTATTTTTTTCTTTATTTTTATTATTATTACTTGGCATCCCTGAACTGGAATGATGAGACAAGAAGGACAAAGCCGAGGATTACTGGGTTGTTGGTTTGCCGTCAGCGTGTCTTTGATGCTGGGCTGCTTTCCGAGGGTTTCAGCCCAGATAAAATATTCAATTCCAGAGGAAGTAAAAGTAGGATCTGTCGTTGGAAATATCGCAAAGGATCTCGGGCTGGACATCAGCACACTGGGAGAAAGACGATTTCGAATTGTTTCGGGAATAAGAGACGGTCAGTTCGAAGTCAATCAGAACAATGGCGTATTATATGTGCACCAGAATATAGATAGAGAAACTCTTTGTGAAAATATTTCGCCTTGTTTGATTAATTTAAAGTTAGTAGCTGAGAATCCCATGGAAATACATTATGTTTCAGTCGAAATTTCGGACATAAACGATAATTCTCCGACTTTTCAAGAGAATGAAAAAAAAATTGAATTTGCTGAGTCTACTCAGCCAGGCAGACGTTTCCAATTACCAACTGCTCGTGATCCAGATGTTGATGTTAACACTATACGTGTGTACAAATTAAGCCAGAATGAACACTTCGGTTTACAAATTCGAGATAGAGGAAATGACAAAGTACCACATTTAGTTTTGCAAAAACCTCTTGATCGAGAAAAACATAATGAACACAAATTGATTCTGACAGCTTTAGACGGCGGGAATCCTCCAAGATCAGGAACTCTAAATGTCACAGTAACTGTCCTCGATTCAAATGATAATCATCCCGTCTTCACGCAAGAGGTATACTCAATAATATTACCAGAAAATGTAAAAATGGATACGAGGGTAATTACTGTTAATGCTACTGATCTGGATATTGGTTCAAATGGAGAAGTTGAATATTTTTTCGGTGGTGAACATGATCCACGAATACATGAAATGTTTAGCTTGGACAAACTCAGTGGTGAAATCAGAGTAAAAGGAGTCATAGATTTTGAAAAATATGAAGTTTATAAATTAGAAATACGTGCAAATGACAAAGGAACACCTCCTATGGATGCAGATTGTACCGTCCTCATCAACGTGCTGGACGAAAATGATAACAAACCTGCAATCGAAGTCACATCTCTTTCTAAGCAGGTTTCAGAGAGCTCCAGACCTGGCGCTGTAGTTTCTTTAATCAGTGTTACAGACCAGGATTCAGGTTTAAACGGCAAAGTCATATGTAGTCTTTCAGATGACGTGCCATTTGATTTAAAACCATCGTTTCAGGATAATATGTACTCTTTAGTTTTAAAACAACATTTGGATCGAGAGTCAGTTTCCCATTATGACATCACCATAACAGCTACTGACAGTGGTCAGCCTCCTCTATCTACATTTAAAACTCTCAGTATTGACGTGTCAGATACAAACGATAATGCGCCACAGTTTTTATATAATCCAATTGAACTTTATCTGACAGAAAACAACGTACCTGGGAACCCAATATATTCTGTTTCTGCTTCTGATAACGATCTGGACGAAAATTCAGCTTTAAGTTATCATTTAGTTAGAGAAGAAGGAAGCCAATCGAAAATTATTGCATTTTTAAACGTTAACTCCGAAAACGGGCAAATATCTGCGCTCAAAAGTTTCGACTTTGAGACTCTAAAAACTTTCCAGTTCCAAGTTGTCGCCACTGATTCTGGGACTCCGTCACTCAGCAGCAACGTCACAGTGAACGTGTTCATTCTGGATCAGAACGACAACGCTCCAGTCATCCTGTATCCACTCAGCTCCAATGGTTCTGCTGAAGGTGTGGAGGAGATTCCACGCAACGTGAACGCAGGACACTTGGTGACTAAAGTCAGAGCCTATGACGCTGATATAGGATATAATGGCTGGTTGCTGTTTTCACTGCAGGAAGTTTCTGATCACAGTCTGTTTGGTTTGGACCGCTACACAGGACAGATCAGAACACTTCGCTCATTCACAGAGACAGATGAGGCTGAGCATAAACTTGTCATACTGGTGAAGGACAATGGAAACATTTCACTCTCAGCAACAGCTACTGTGATTGTCAAACTTGTGGAGCCAAAAGAGGCTTTTGCGGCTTCTGATGTTAAAAGTGCTGCAAAGGATGAAGAGGAGGATAATGTGACTTTTTACTTGATGATCACTCTGGGCGCAGTTTCAGTTCTGTTTATCATCAGTATCATCGTGCTTATTGCAATGCAGTGCTCCAAATCCACAGACTATACTTCTAAATTTCTCCAAGAGACTAATTATGATGGGACACTGTGTCACAGCATCCAGTACAGATCTGGAGACAAACGCTACATGTTAGTTGGACCCAGGATGAGTATTGGATCTACTATAGTACCTGGAAGTCATGCAAACACTCTCATGCTGCCTGACAGGAGAACATCTGAAGAGGTAAGAGTTGGAAAAGACATCTTTACATGTCTTACAAATGTTTCCCATTCTCTAACTGTATATACAGTTACTCCAACATGGGTGCTCACTTGTGTTGTTTTATTTATTTATTTATTTATTTTTGTGATTTTACAAATTGCTTCAGAAAAAATGTGGATTTTTTGAGTCCGAATTCCTCAAGTTAAACCATTTCATTATTTATTTTTTTCCTAATGTTCCAGTCACGAGAATAATCCCTGAATCACAATCGGAGCTGTCTTTTCAGCACTTCCGCCTGGTTTGCAGTTTTCGTGCTTCTTATTTTTACTGGCTTGTTTTTGGCTGAACAAATCGAACAACAAAAAAGGTAATTAGTCCGAGTCCAACATAGCGTATTTTTTAATTACAGAAATATAGAAAAAATCCTCCTCATGAACGCTTCCCAATGTCTCTTGGATAGCTAAGAATGTCTTCGTTTTGTTTTCACTTTTTTTGTTACATGTTGCTTGTCGATAATTGCTTAACCCAGTTAACTTTACTGCTATAAGAAAACAACTTTTTCGTTATTTTTTTTTCTGGTTTGTTTATGTTTTTTTGAAGCAGCTCTTTAGAGCTCCACTGGATTGAGTTTTTTGCTTCCCAATTTGTGTAGCAAGATATTGCATTTATTATTTCACCATTCCAAAGTACCCTCTAGGTGTCAGCAGTATTCTAAGAAACCAGACAAAACTCGCTCCAGAGGTCTTTTGTTACATCCGAAAGAAGGTGGGAAGGGATCAGATCTGGGTTTGCCTCTCGATTCCACTAGGCTTTGTATTTAACCACTAGAAGCTGTTGGGGAAGCTATATATAATGCTGTAGCTTATTGTTGTTCTGCTCCTGAATAATGGGAACCGGAACGCCGAATCAAATGAGGAATTACTTCTGGTGTGCTTTTCGCTGGATCATACTGCTATTTGTTGTAAATCGGGTTTTGGCAGAAACTAGATACTCTGTTGCAGAAGAAGTGAAGGATGGTACTGTTGTGGGTAATGTCGCAAAGGACCTCGGCCTTGAAATGTCTTCTCTGAAGTACCGTCGGTTCCGTGTCGTGTCTGAAAACGAGAATCCATTTTTTGACGTAAACCAGGACAACGGGGACCTTTATGTTGTTCGGAAAATCGACCGAGAGGAGCTTTGTCGGGGAAGTGGAGCATGCTTAATGGAACTGAAGATCATCATAGAAAACCCTTTGGAAATACACTACGTTGTTGTTGAAATTAAGGATGTAAATGATCATTCCCCGGTCTTTCCAGAAAAGGAACAGAGGTTTGAGATAGGTGAACAAACACTGCCCGGAAGACGATTTCAATTGCACGCTGCCCGTGATCCCGATTCTGGATCTAACTCCATACGTACGTACATACTGACCTCAAATGAACATTTTGAAATAGATATTCGTGTGAGTGATGACGATAAAATACCGTTTCTGGTGCTAAAAAAGTCCTTAGACAGGGAACAAAAAAATCGTCACTTGCTGCAATTAACAGGAGTTGATGGAGGTAAACCTCCAAGATCAGGGACACTAAATATTTCAATTACTGTTCTCGACAGTAATGATAATCGTCCAAAATTTAGTAGGGAAACCTATGAAGTTGAAATACAAGAAAACATTCCAGTTGGCACGTCAGTGTAAAGAATAAATGCAACTGATTCAGATGAAGGCACCAATAGTCAAATTGAATACAGCCTTGGAAAAACACTGAAGAAAAATGTGTACGATATTTTTGAACTTGATAAAATAACTGGAAATATCAGAGTTAAAGGTGCTGTTGACTATGAAGAAAATGACGTTTATAAACTGGATATTGAGGCATCAGATAAAGGAACGCCTCCATTAACGGGTGAGTGTAGAATTATTGTAAAAATAAAAGATATGAATGATAATCCACCCGAAATTGATATTACATCTCTCTCAAACACCGTGTCTGAAGACTCAAAGCCTGGCACTGTAATTTCTCTGATTAGTGTGAAAGATAAAGATTCAGGTCTCAATGGAAAAATAATGACAAGCATTATATCAGACGTTCCCTTTGAACTGAAACCTTCTTATAAGGAGAACACATATTCAATTGTAACGAAAGATTATTTGGATCGAGAAGAGATTACTCATTATAGTATTACCATAAAAGCAACGGACTATGGTGACCCTCCATTATCAACTGTAAAAACACTTAACCTACAAGTAACAGACGTAAATGACAACAATCCTCAATTCTCCGAAAATCCAATAAACATTTACCTGCCAGAAAACAATGTCCCTGGAACTCTCATATTTGGTGTCAGCGCTGCTGACAAAGACTTAAGTGAAAATGCAGCTATTTCTTATCGTATTGCAAGAGAAGGTCACCAGAACGGTATCATATCCTTCCTTAGTGTAAATTCAGAAAATGGAGAAATATCAGCACTTAAAAGTTTCGACTTTGAAACGCTGAAAACTTTCCAGTTCCAAGTTGTCGCCACTGATTCTGGGACTCCGTCACTCAGCAGCAACGTCACAGTGAACGTGTTCATTCTGGATCAGAACGACAACGCTCCAGTCATCCTGTATCCACTCAGCTCCAATGGTTCTGCTGAAGGTGTGGAGGAGATTCCACGCAACGTGAACGCAGGACACTTGGTGACTAAAGTCAGAGCCTATGACGCTGATATAGGATATAATGGCTGGTTGCTGTTTTCACTGCAGGAAGTTACTGACCACAGTCTGTTTGGTTTGGACCGCTACACAGGACAGATCAGAACACTTCGCTCATTCACAGAGACAGACGAGGCTGAGCATAAACTGGTCATACTGGTGAAGGATAATGGCAACGTTTCACTCTCAGCANCAGCTACTGTGATTGTCAAATTAGTGGAGCCCAAAGAAGCTTTTGCAGCTTCTGATGTTAAAAGTGCAGCACAGGATGATGAAGGTAATGATGTGACTTTTTACCTGATGATAACTTTGGGAGCAGTTTCAATTCTGTTTATCATCAGTATCATCGTGCTGATTGCAATGCAGTGCTCCAAATCTACAGAATATACTTCTAAATATCTCCAAGAGACTAATTATGATGGGACACTGTGTCACAGCATCCAGTACAGATCTGGAGACAAACGCTACATGTTAGTTGGACCCAGAATGAGTATTGGATCTACTATAGTACCTGGAAGTCATGCAAACACACTAGTGCTACCTGACAGGAGGAGAACATCTGAAGAGGTAAGACTAATTTGAAGTCTGAAATAATGTTGGCATGCGGTAATTCGCTTTTTTGTAGATATTTAATAGCAAAAAATGCTTATTTTTATCACATTTTTTAATGTTTTTAGAAGAGATCATTTGCAATTTGAATTTTGTTGTTTTCAGTAGATGTATTAGGTTTTGTCTTTGTCTAAGATGCAGTGGATATATTTCTTTTGGGATTTTTGTTTTATAGTGACATTTTAAGATCTTATGGTCCTATGTGATTTAAATGTTTTCCTTCTCTCACACTCCTGATTCAATTTATTGCATTACCAAAGCATGCCTTCAATTGCTGCACAAGCTTGTTGATCACACTTTCATTTAAATCTGATATGCAGCAGCAGTGTAACACCAAACACATGCTGGACATTGGACACTGGGGAGCAGGGTTGGGGACCTGTGCTTCAAATATATCAATCTCATTTCGCTGTCCATGGTCCTGCTTTGAAGTGAAACTTTTGCAAAACACCGGTTCTAAGCAAACACTTCACTTCGAGTTAGTGATGATTTTGTGAGGATAAGTTACTTTGGTTGCTTTTTGTTTTAGTTTTTTAAGGATTGTTTTAGACTGAAGTTGTTTAAAATTGAAAGAACTTTGAGTTGAAAATAATTGTGTCAATTTTGGGGGAACCGTGTCGTTTGCAGATGGAGATCTCTGATTATTCGATATTGTTTGTATCATTTCTCTGTTCTCATCAGACATTGTGTCTATTGATTGACTCACTAGGTGTCAGTGTTACATTAGGCAACAATTTAGCCTTCAATCCCAACAGGCTCTGCCCATTGCAAGTTCTTTTTTTTCCTATTTGGACAAAGACTGGTAATGATTTAGAAGTGAACCGCACGTTCTCCATGCTACTATCAATCTCGGAATCTTATCTTGGAAATACTGGATTTGTTTTACGCAAAGGGAATTTGTGGACGGACATTTTTATGATTATGCCAACAGATAGAAAGGATAAAACGGCACAATGATACATTGGTCTCGTGCTCTGTCTTTGTTGCTGTTTTTCGGGAATACGGGGCTGATTTTAGCACAGATTAAATACTCCACATCAGAGGGGGTTAAAGTGGGAGCTGTGATCGGAAATGTGGCCAAGGACTTAGGCCTCGATGTCAGCACGCTGGCGAGTAGGCGTTTTCGCATTGTGTCCGGAGCTCACGGCGCGCTGTTTGAGGTAAACCCGAACAACGGGATTTTATATGCTCACCAGAATATTGACCGAGAGCAGCTGTGTGACAGAAATATTGCATGTCTAGCCGATCTAAAAATTGTGGTTGAAAATCCACTTGAGGTCCACTATGTCACCGTCGAAATAATAGATGCAAACGACCATGCACCGACTTTTGCAGAAAAAGAAAAGATAATAGAAATAGCGGAATTGACAGCTCCAGGAACCCGATTCCAATTACCAGGAGCCCACGATCCAGATGTGGGAATAAATTCAATCCAGCGCTATAAACTGAGCCAAAATGACAATTTCCATTTGGAAATTCGAGACAGAGGGGAGGATAAAATCCCCTTCCTAGTTTTACAGAGGCAACTCGATAGAGAGCAGAAAACAAACCACAGCTTAATCTTAACTGCTATGGATGGAGGGGCACCGTCACAATCCGCACAACTCAACGTTACGGTGAAGGTTCTTGATACAAACGATAACAGACCTATTTTTTCAAAAGAGGTTTATTCTGCTGTTTTGCAAGAAAATGCAGCAATAGATACGGTTGTAATAAAAGTCGAAGCGACTGATCTAGACGAGGGACCTAACGCTGACATAGAGTATGCCTTTGGAACTGATATTAATTCTGACTTGCTAAAACTATTTAGTTTAAATACAAATTCAGGAGAAATTCGGGTCAGCGGATTAATTGATTATGAGACGGCAAATGTTTACAAATTAGACGTGCAAGCTTCTGACAAAGGTCAGCCACCAATGACCACTGATTGTAGGGTGATAATCAAGATCCAAGATGTTAACGACAATAAGCCAGAAATAGACATTACATCTTTATCCAGCCTGGTCCCGGAGGATTCAAAGCATGGGACCGTGATTGCTCTGGTCAGTTTTACTGACAGGGATTCGGGTCCTAATGGAAAAGTCCTTTGTCGTCTGACAGATAACGTGCCTTTTGAATTAAAATCATCATATAAAGAAAATATGTACTCATTAGTCACAAAGGCCAATTTGGACAGAGAAAAGCTATCATATTATGATATCTCAATAACAGCTACTGATTGCGGTGAGCCATCTCTCTCCACTGTAAAAACTTTAATCATTCAGGTGTCGGATGTAAATGACAACACCCCTGTGTTTTTACAAAACCCTCTTGAATTGTACTTAAGAGAAAATAATGCTCCCAGTGAATATATATTTTCTGTAAGCGCCCTGGATAATGACTTGAACGAAAATGCTGTCCTGTCTTATCGGTTGCTCAAAAGTGAAGAGGGTCTCAGGGAAATAACATCCTTTTTGAACATACATACTGAGACCGGGCAAATATCAGCAATGAAAAGTTTCGACTTCGAAACTCTGAAAACTTTCCAGTTCCAAGTTGTCGCCACTGATTCTGGGACTCCGTCACTCAGCAGCAACGTCATAGTGAACGCGTTCATTCTGGATCAGAACGACAACGCTCCAGTCATCCTGTATCCACTCAGCTCCAATGGTTCTGCTGAAGGTGTGGATGAGATTCCACGTAATGTGAACGCAGGACACTTGGTGACTAAAGTCAGAGCCTATGACGCTGATATAGGATATAATGGCTGGTTGCTGTTTTCACTGCAGGAAGTTTCTGACCACAGTCTCTTTGGTTTGGACCGCTACACAGGACAGATCAGAACACTTCGGTCATTCACAGAGACAGATGAGGCTGAGCATAAGCTGGTCATACTGGTCAAAGACAATGGCAACGTTTCACTCTCAGCAACAGCTACTGTGATTGTCAAACTTGTGGAGCCCAAAGAGGCTTTTGCGGCTTCTGATGTCAAAAGTACAGCACAGGATAACGAGGATAATGATGTGACTTTTTACCTGATGATCACTCTGGGCGCAGTTTCTGTTCTATTTATCATCAGCATGATTGTCCTGATTGCAATGCAGTGCTCCAAATCCACAGACTATACTTCTAAATATCTCCAAGAGGCTAATTATGATGGGACACTGTGTCACAGCATCCAGTACAGATCTGGAGATAGACGCTACATGTTAGTTGGACCCAGAATGAGTATTGGATCTACTATAGTACCTGGAAGTCATGCAAACACACTGGTGCTACCTGACAGGAGGAGAACATCTGAAGAGGTAGGCAATGTAATTTATTCTCCCTTAATTTGGAAGCGTTTGCGGCATCCCATCGGACAGATTACATCATTAATGACTTTATAAAAACGTTTACTTGTAGTGATTGGTTACTCTGCCATAAAGATGTATTGATTTTCTTTTTCTTTTTTTTTGTTTTAGTGTGGTTTATTTTGTCACCTAGCACTGGAGTACGAACTATTCTGTGTAAACACACCTGTCAAACAATTTCATGTTAGAAGTCTTTGGGAATGTTTGCTGAAACTGAAAGAGCAGTTAAACTAATGTCTTGTGTTGTGTTGTTTCATTTAGTTGTATTAATGCCATTTATGCATTGGCAATATACCTTCTAGTCACAACTTAAACTGCTTTACCGAATTTATATCTAACCTCTTAACCTTCATATTTGCAGCATCTGAACTATTTTTTATCATACACCTTTTCTGACACAAGTATGTCGCTCTTTTTTTTCTTAACTGCGCGTCCTTTACTATTATGTGCAAGTAAGGAAGGATTAGGATACACACTTATAAATTTGCATGATTGTTCTATTAGCCGACTAAATTAAATAGTATGCAATGTTTGCCTCTTGGTGTCACCACAACACAGCAAACCGTTAAGAGTCATGGTTCCTCCCACTAGTAAAATCTTTTGTTAGGTAGCTGTTAGCCGGAGATGTAGGCAACATAAGAGGAACGGACGGGTGGTATCACATTTGCATCGGATTTGGAAACTGGGACTGATATAGAAAAAGAACAAAAGTGGACGTGTGGGGCTGGAAACAATGGAGAGACTGTTTAGATCATCTAACCGTGGCTGGTTTGGTATTTATTTAGCCGTACTGCTGATTGTCGCGGAACAAGTTCTGGCTGAACTGAGGTACTCCATCCCAGAGGAGGTAAACGAAGGAACCGCTGTGGGATATATTGCAAAAGATCTTGGTTTGGATAAAGCCTCATTGGTTGATCGTCGATTTCGTGTTGTGCCTGGATCCCAGGAGGCGTATTTTGAGGTGAATTCAGACAACGGTGCTTTACAGGTTCGTAGAAAAATTGACAGAGAGGAGATTTGTCACGGTAGCGGCGCATGCCTAATGGAGCTGAAAATTCTCGTTGAAAACCCCTTGGAGATGCACCATGTTGTTGTCGATATAGCAGATGTAAATGATCATTATCCCAGCTTTTCTGAAAACGAACAAACGTTTGAAATAGCGGAGCATTCATCACTAGGAACAAGATTTCAGTTGGATGCGGCCCGCGATCCGGATGCTGGAATAAACTCCATCCGCACGTACACATTAACGTCAAATGATCATTTTGATATTGAGGTAATCCAGAGTGAGGAGGAGAAAGTGCCATATTTAGTATTAAAAAAATCATTAGACAGAGAACAAAAGAAAAAGCACGTGTTTATTTTAACAGCGGCTGATGGAGGCAAACCTCCAAAATCGGCGACACTTAATATTTCCATTATTGTCCTTGATAGTAATGACAATCGCCCGGCATTCAATAAAGAGATTTATCTAATTGAAATTCAAGAGAATGCATTAGTTGGCACAACTCTTACAACGTTAAATGCAACAGATCCAGACGAAGGTACAAACGGGGAGATAGAGTACAACCTGAGCAAAACACTGCCGCGTAAAGCATATGAAGTATTCCGGTTA